TAAGTGAAATACGCGATAGAAAAACATCCGACAAAAGGGCCACATGTGCCTAAATAGCTTGGCCACTTAAATGAATCACTATTCATTGCAAAAATTTCTTCTTCTCTCTCTTGAAGGGCCGAGCTTCAGCCATGGAAAAGGGGGGGTTAGGGTTTTGCTTGTTTTGTTGATTTCTTCTTGAATTCTCAACCAAATCTTATGACCCACCACTTGAAATTGATTAGGAACCACTCAAGGAATCCATTGCACCTATCCATTTGAGCTATAGTTGAGTGTGTGAAGAGTTATTCCTCCTCTTATTTTCGGATTACTATTCATAGGAGGAGAAAAAGTGGGTTTTTGATGGAGCTTTGCTTGGAGGTTATTCTCTGGGCTTTGTACAAGTGATTAGAGGTAAGAAACCTCTATTTCTATGGTATTATTTTGTGATCTATGTTTTGAAAATTTGGAGCATGTTTTGAGTGGGAAATATTTGATGTTAGAAGGTGAAAATTATGATGGATTGTTGTTGTATAGGAATGATAGTGTTTAGTAAGCATTAATTTGTGATAAAAAAATTGAAAAGCCCTAGTGCACTTTTCCCCTAGGTTTCGGCCTTCATGGCTTATATAGGGTTCATCATGCAAATTTTTATTGTATGTTTGAAAAGGTAAAATATGTTGGAATGTAGTGTAAATGGATTAATTGGTGGAAATGCCAAAGTTAGAAAAAATCCTACAAATACTTGCTCTATGTTACGAACTATAGGATGTTTAGGGGTATATATATATTGGTTACATTTTATTCTAATAAAATGGGTTGCATTTTAATATACCAATGGATGAGCTAAGAAGTGAAATGCTTTGACAAATGGTTGAAAAATACCTTGAGTCCCTAAGGGTACGCCCGCGACTTTTAAAGAAAAATAACATGATTTATGTGAAAAATTCTTAAGTAAATGCTTGATTAAATTAAAGAACGCCAACGGGTGTATAGAGGTCTAGACTTGTGTATTGGCATAGAATTGGCAAAAATATAAAGAAAGGAAAATAAGCGATAAAATGTATGCTTATGAAATAATCATGGTATTGCATCATTTTATTGATGCATTGTAAATTATTCTCTAGGTGTGCCTAGGGATTGAGAAGGATCGGAAATCTCTTGAAGCGATAAAAGTAACTTGTTCCACAAGTAAGCGTATTGGTAAAGCTTCAAGAGGTAAGCTCTATGTTTAAGGAGTCTTTTCCTGCTTGAGTGCTCCACCATGGTTAGTGAACTATGGTTGGACTGTATGACTGTGATTTAGATGCTTTGTATAGATGCATTCATATAGAGTTATTTGATAACATGATATGTTTTGCTCTGATATGACTTCTGTAATTTGATTTCTGTAACAATCTCTGGCCATTGATTGTATAGTACCCGGACGTCCGCTTTGGGGTCCTCCCTCGGGACTGATGGTGTACTCCTCTGATATGTCTGGTTCCGCTTTGGGGTCCTCCCTCGGGAACACGTGCGTTGATTTCCGCTTGGGGTCCTCCCTTGGGAATGACGGCGCACATCTCTGATATGATATGGATATATGCTCTGTTCTGTTATGATATCTGTTATATGTGGTATTTGTATACTCTGTATCTGAATTTCATGCAGGAGTGAGCCAGGGGTATGGAGAATTCTCTATAAACCTGGAGCTTATTGAGATTTGTAATCTCACCCCTCTTTGGGGACACATTTTCAGGGGCCCAGATTTCCGGTGAGTCCTCACTAGGCAGGGACACGACACGTGGCTGAGGCAGTTGACAGACCGGATTTTGAGTGGCTGTAGGCTACTACCTTTTTGGAGTGTTTGATGTATTTTAGTATTTTCGCATTTGATGGATCATGATATTGATCCTTTATTTTGTATATGGCCTGTATATGTTTTGTACATGTCTATCAGTTTGATGCATGTACATTTGAGTATTCAGGAACGTTATATGATGATGTAGTATTCAGATAGGTTTATGTTTTGATGGTATGCTGTTAGATTTAGTGGCACGGAGCCATGTTATGCATGCGCCCATGTATGGGTATTTGATTATATTTGGATATCTGGTATTTCTGAATTGATATGTTGTATAAACTGTTTATCAGGAAATGCTTCTGAGTGGGATTGGAAAATCCCCAGTTGTCCGATTTATAGAGGAAACTCTGCCCGATTTTCGTTTACGCCGAGTAAGAATTAAGTTAGAAAAAGAAAAAGTTAGCTCATATTTTTGTAAGTTAAGTCTTCCGCTGTTTCTGTTTGTATCATATGTATGTTAATTGAACCGGCTCGAGACGGGGATGTTACATTTAATCATTTGGAAATTTGTTATCGATAAAAAATTTAAATGATGATCAAGAAATCACAATTTCATTCGAAAACTCATTTTTATAAAATTATAATATATACAATCCATTATTCTTTAAAGTCAACCAAATAAATTAAATGAAATTGTAAAAAAATCTATATTAAAATAATCATATTTATTAATGCAAATAAATGTTAAAATCATTTATGGCCAAAATATATAATTGCCTAATTGTCTTTGCTTCTTTTTTTAATATTTATTTTATAATAAGAATTATATATTATATAAATATCACAAGAGATCAAATAAATTTTTTACCTCTAGGTCTTATATCATATGTGTCACCTGCAAATTCATTTGTTCCCTCCAAAATTAACTTATTGCACAGGCTTTTTTCATATTTAATCACAACATTTAATTCTTATTCTTACTTATATATTATCAAAATTTAAATTATAAACTATCCTCAAAATTTACATTTAGATACAAGCATTAAATGAAAATGCAATAAATTTCTCCTTTGAATTATTACATAATGAAATTTTTATAATTTTGAAAAAGCAAGAGTAATTAGAAATAAAACTTATATTATCAATGTTACAAAAAAAAAAAAACTTATATGGCAGGAGTTACTTACCACCAATTTTTTTTACCACATTTACAACCAACCTAATCACCGTTGATTTCTGTCAATCTGACTGTTATAATTTATTAAAAATTAAAAATTATTAATTAATGCGGTCCAATAATTTTCAATAAGTTATAACCGTCAAATTAACGTAAATCAACGGTGATTAAGTTGGTTGTAAAGGTAATAAAATTTTTTGGTGGTAAGTATATCCTTCCCCTATCAATAATACAAGACATTTAAATTTGGTAAAATCAAAATTTAATTAATTTGTCCTTAAATAAATGTATTTCATCTTCAAACGAATTAGTGATATTTTTCAAATCAGCTTATGTTAAAAAAAGAGACATGAACACATGCGGTTCCTCGAAATTTTCTCGCACGTTGTTGGTTAACACTTAAACAATAAGCCGTTTTGTTCGCGAAAGAGAAAGTCCATAATCACATACAGAAGAACAAACATTCTGTTTCTGATCTTCTTCGGGCACTTCCTTCTCTCTCTCTCTTCATTTATTGGATCATTTCGATTTGTAGCTCAAGGTATACGTAAAGCTTGAATATTTGATAGTAGGATTTGCAATTTTTGATCTGGGTCTGCTTCGTGTGACTGAGTCGAGGGTGTTTAGATTATTTTGGTTTTACGTTTTATTTATTTAAATGTTCTGTTTGCTTGGTAGCTGGGATATTTATGGAAGGGAAGTGGGAAATGAAATATTATTGAGGTTGTGATTCATGTGATGTGGTCGTTCAACCGATTGACCCGTAAACCAGACCGCAATCGGTCGGGTTAGGTATTAGACTAGTTATGCAGTTAACCCGGTATGAAACTGGTGAACCGTCCTAAATTGGATTCAACTGGTATTAAATGAGCATCATTTTTTTTTTAAAATCGGTTTTGAGAATTTTTTTTGACAATATGCTTGAAAAATATCATAATGAGATCCGAATCTAAACCATGTATAGCATTTACCACTAACATAACTTTAATTATTAGTTAAAATGCTTCTAATTTTATATATCGTATTTTATTATATATACATATGGAGCATGTTATATTTACGAACTTTTTTGTTTACAAACTCTTACAAACTACACTATATTCTATATTCTCCCGGGAGAATACAAACTTTTACAAACTACACTATGTTCTCACGGGAGAAGATAGTGTAATTTGTAAAAAAATTCAAAAAAATTTGTAAACGGATCCTGTCCCCGTATATATATATATTGAATTCATGTGGTTGAGTCAGTGATCTTATGATTGAATCGGTGGCCCAGACCGATTCGATGACTTGTACGAATTTGATAACATTGGTTGTATAGCATAGGAATTCGTTGTTTCAGTGATTATTTTTTGTTAGGAAGAGCAGGGAATGGAAGGAGATTGATGTAACTGGACTTGGAGGGCTGTCCACATAGATCATGCTCTTCTTTTTTCTTTCATATATACTTTGTGCATGATTGAGTGAAGCTTATTTTATTGACAATGTGGAATTTATAATCCTGATTAATCAATTAAATGCTCATTCAAAGATATGCCACAGTGGGTGAATAGAGATGGGTTGTTTTTTTTATAGACAAGCATGGATGCTGAAGCTCTTGGATTTGCTCATTTTTTTCAAAATTTTGTCCTAGGGAAGTAGATTATATTCTTTTGGTGATTGTTCTTTTTTTTCTAAAGTTCTAATTCTATATAACCCCTTCAACTTTAGTTTATGTGCAGATATCCATTGTCTTAAATTTTTTCAAATTAAACCTTCTTTTAAGATTGCCTTCTTTAAATTAATAAAAGCAAGAGTCAGAGTCGGGTACACATGAGGGTTTATTTACTCATTTACCAAATCTGGAGAGCCTTATTTGGTGAAAAAACTACGTGAGCATAACATGATTGGCACTTAACATTGTCAATTTGAACCTATGATATTCTGACCAAGTTCTCATTTGGTAACAGAACCAGGATTGGACCTTTTATAATTTAATGTCACTTTTGCTTTTTTGCCATCGTTCAGTTGTAAGGATTGTATTGTGATCTTGTTACACAGCTGTGATTAGCATAGAAAATGAGTACATTGGATGCAAGTAGGGCAGAACTGGCTCTTCTAGTTTTGTATTTGAACAAGGCAGAAGCAAGGGACAAGATATGCAGGGCTATACAATATGGTTCCAAATTTTTGAGTGATGGACAACCTGGTACTGCACAGAATGTAGACAAATCAACCAGCTTGGCACGAAAAGTTTTCCGTCTATTAAAGGTTAAGCTACTATGTGTTTAATATCTTAAACAATTACTAGTTCATCTATTTCATTTATTTCTTTTTCCAATCTGTGTAATTTGCTGCTAGCTATTTATATGTTGTATCCTTACTTTCTAGGGAGGGTAGGGGCGAGGCCAATTCTTGTCTGCAGCTTTACCTTTACATATTTACAAAGAAATTGTTTCCTGAATTTGAACTCATGACCTTTCAGTCACAAAGAAACAATATTATCGCTGCTATAGGCTTGCCCTCTTAAATTGGAAAATAATAAATGAAAGAAAATCTCAAAAACAACTCTCTATTTAGTAAAATCCTCTGCATATAAAAGATGGTGAAATAATGAATTCTTGCAGGTTCTTAATAGTCATCACTCTTATGCTTTACCACCTTGTAATATGCAGTTTGTGAATGGCCTGCACACTCTGATAAGTCCCACTCCACAGGAGACTCCCCTTCCCCTAGTTCTATTGGGAAAGGTAATACTTTTCTAAATCATTCCACTTTTTTGTTTAAAATCTTTCTTTTATTCATTCTTTTCATTATCTTATGTAATGCATTTTTCAGTCCAAGGATGCATTAACTTCAATGTTCTTGTTTCTTGATCAATTTGTGTGGCTTAGTAGAACGGGCGTCTACCAGGTAGGAAGTCCAACTTCTCTCACTTTATTAATCACTTGAGAATGCAATCCAACATTATATAAGGATTATATTGTCCAACTACAGAATAAAGAACGTGCAGAACTGATTGGCAGGATATCTCTTTTCTGTTGGACTGGTTCCTTAGTGTGCACTACCTTGGTTGAGGTTTGTTTGTCGCTTACCTTTCTTCAATTCTGCTAACACATATGCATCAATAATGTTCTCTTAGCTCTACTTTTTTAACCTTTTTGTTTGACATGTTTTACTCATATTATCAGGTTGGGGAGCTTGGAAGACTTTCTGAATCTATGATGAAGTTAGAGAAAGAACTCAAGAACAGTAATAAATATGAAGTATGTTGTCCAGGCTTGTGTACTTGTTCTTCAAAGTTTTCATTTGTTGGTTTACACTGTTGGGGACTGTGACTGCCTTTCCATAAGATTTTTTTTTTTTTATATTAATGTAAATTGTAAAGTCATTACCTGTGGGTGCAGAATGAGCAATATCAAGCTAAACTTAAAAAGTCAAATGAAAGAACTATAGCACTTGTCAAAGCAGGCATTGATATAGTGGTAGCTGTTGGTCTGCTTCAATTGGCACCCAACAAAGTCACTCCCAGAGTTACCGGAGCCTTTGGATTTGTTTCATCTCTAATATCTTGCTATCAGGTGCCTGCTAGGAACATTATGGTTCACTTAACTCTTTTACTTGGGTGTCTTGAAGTGCCTGAAAAATTATATGTGTAACATCTGCACATGCACAACTAGAGAACAAAGGCAAAGAATTAGAGGCAAAATTAGTTTTTGATTATATTTCTTTAGAGATGCAAGGAACTATAGTAACAATGTTAAGGAAATCAATTCAGAGGACACATGAAACATTGGTAGGATTTATATTCTTCTAGACCATTGGCGGGACTATTTAGGTCTCTCTCTCTTTTTTTGGTTGCAATTATGCTTTGGAGTATCAGTTTCACTGACAAGGTTCTCATGTTTATGCAATGCAGCTGCTTCCTGCTCCAGTCAAGTCCAAAACATCGTGAGCATAAAAGAACAGATGATGATGGTGCCCTTGAATTTGTCTGAAAATGGTGGTGTGAGAATTTAGCAATTTGCAGATCAATAAAGTGCCTTTGAAATGCCATCATAGTTAGTGTTAATGTTATCAAACTTACCTGTTCTTTATAGCAGAAAACAATATCTGTTATCCCATATATCTACCAATTAATTGACATTAGATGTGAATTCCAACAAATAAAACCAAGAAATGCTTATGTAAATGTGCTACACAAGTGGGTGGTCACTGGAGGTCATCATCAGAAATTTTGCTACTCAGCTCTCGGTTTTAGATTGATAGATTTTGTATTTGAAAGTACCAAATTCAGATACGGGTGTCGTACTTCAAACGGTGCATTGTATTTTCTACTCTGCAATTTTTTCTTCCAAAAAATGGTGTTTTTCAACCTTGCATTTGATAATGACATCAATGAATACAAAGGTGAAGATATTCATTTTGCAATAGATTTCAATTGCTACAAATGGATATCCAAACAAATTATTTCATGCATGAAAGTAATTAAATTGAAGCAATTAGATTTCCTTACATTTTAAATTGGTGCTCTATGACAGGGTGCATCCATCATTTTCTTGCGGCCTAATAATGCATAATGTTACTTGTAGTTGCAGGATTACAGTACGCATCTTGTGTGTCTCAAAGTTTTAACTTAACATCTATCGTCAACCAAATACTTATTAGTTCTACGAAAATGCCATGATTGTTTGAAGGAAGTTGCTATCTCTGATTTGCAAGGGATTGCGCTGACTTGCTTCATTCTTTGTTTTTCTGTTTCCTTTGGTTATGTTTTGTTTTGATCGTCTTATCTCTCGAGGATACCTTATCCTTACTCTTGATGTACTTACTTCCCTTTTCTTCGATTATACTTGTTTTTACAAAAATAAAATAAAAAATAAAAATAAAATTAACTTAATAATGGAAGAGTGTCTAGTTTCAATAGGTGTTTGAATTGACTTTGCTAACCAACTTACAACAGTACTCTATTTTGATTTTAAATGCACCCCAATTTAGACAGAAGATTATGTCTCTAATGTATGGCGGAGCATAGGGTCATTTTCATGGATGTTGATACGGAAAATTTTGGAGCATTTCATCTTACTCGAGCAACAATGGCGGAACATCGATCAAAATATCACTGTTTATCAAATTTTTTACCCAAATATCACGCCAATAATATTTTTTACCAGACTCTCATGTGTCAAAGTTCGTTACCACTGGTAGCGAACTTCGTTGCCAATGATTTCGTGACACATGACATTATTCGTGTGAAACATAGCGTACCGAGTTCACTACCACTAGTAGCGAACTTGGTAGAGTCAGTTTTTCCTGTGAAAGTGTGTCACGTGTCACGAAATTATAGGCGACGAAATTGGTAGCGAATTTTGACCTGTGGCAGTCTAGTAAAAAATATTGTTCGCGTGACATTTGAGTAAGATATTTGCCAAACAGTAGCACTTTAGTCACTGTTCCGACAATGGCATCCATGACACCCAAGGGGGATGTTTCTCTTCCATTATAGTTCTCGAACTAAGATTTCAAATACAATTTTTACCCTCAGGAAAATGAACCTTTTGTCCCCATATAGGACATCTCAATTATCCTATAGACTTTGAAGTTCTATTTGAATTTATTCGTGTTTAGATGAACCAAGAGCTAATTATTAAACCAATACTTATATCTTCCTTGAGGACATTAATTTTTGGTTACAATGTGATCACAAGAAATCTGATGATTATAAATGTCATAGAGATGGGTTCATATGACTTGGAGCTTCATGCTGTTAGTCTGATTTCATTGAAAAGTGCTATGCTCCACCTGTGCAGAAATGCTCTAACATTTCTCATAATATGTAAAACCAGTTCTGATACGAGAGGATACACCGTATGTATGGATACAATATAACTTATAGGAAGGCTTGGAAGGCAAGAATGAAGGGCATTGTGAAGTTATTTGGTGATTGGGACAAATCATATGCATTATTGCCCAATTGGTTGACATACATGACACAGTGTATGTGGGTTCTGTCTTCAAGCTTGATACTGATGAATATTTTGATGAACATCGAGTTTATATCGACAAGACCGTCTTTTATAGGGTTTTTTTTGGATATTTTGCCAGTGCATTGAGTGGCACTCATCTGTATGGAAAATATAAATGAACTATTTTGACTGCAACGTTACAGGATGGAGATGGATATCTGCTACCAATTGCCTTTGCTGTTGTTCCTCCAGGTGAGAAGTTGGAAGATTGGTAGTGATTTCTTAGTCTTATACATTTTCATGTGACACATAGGAAATGTATTTGTCTAATATCCGATCGTCACCCCATCATTATATGGGCAGTAAAAAAATGCTGGTTGGCAGCCTCCATTTGGCTATCACGTGTTTTGCCTACGTCACATCGGAAATAACTTTAATACTAAGATTATGGATGTGTAATTGAAGAAAATGTTGATGAAATTAGGTATGTTAAAAATTCATTAATGCATACTTGTGGAATTTTATTCTTTGTATTGTAAATATTCTAATGCATTGAAACTCTTTGTTTTGCAGGATACATGAGTTCAAAGATTCATTTTGACATGAGATTTCAGGAATTTATAGACAATAACCCAAAAGTTGTTGCATGGATTGATCAGATTCCAAAAGAGAAATGGTGCAGGTCTTATGATGAGGAGGGACAGAGGTTTGGTCACATGATGACTAACCTATCCGAGTGTGTGAATAAGGTCCTCAGAGGTGCATGTAATCTGCCGATAATGAAATTGGTCAAGATGATGCAGTAGACTTATTGAATATTTTGTCAAGAGACGTGAAAAGATCCAGAAAGATGTGGCAAAAGATAGGAGAATTTCAAAGAAGGTTGAAAAAGGCATACAAAAAAATTACCAATTGATAGTGACGTACTAAGTGCGGGTTTATGATAGGGATTTAGAATTGTTTGAGGTTGAGGACGCGTATAACCAATCTACACATGATGCTGGTGACACAATGAGGGTGGACTTTTTCAATCGCAAATGTCAATGTGGGAAGTTTATAGCAAGATGGTATCCCTATAGCCACGTCTTAGTAGTGTGCAAGACAGAGAAGTTGAACCACTACGATTATGTTGACCCCGTGTTCTCCATCCCACACATTGCTTAGGTATATGCTGCACACTGGTATCCGATGTGCAATGAGTTGTTGATTCCACGAGGCAATGGCCCAACCATTATCCCGAATACAAATTTGGTATGCGCACAGGGAAGACCAAAGTCTTCAAGGATATAGAGTGAGATGGATTGGATAGAGTCTCAACCCTCAAGCAGTCAGAGTAGATGTAGGCATTGCAAGCAAGTTGGTCATAACATACGTATATGTCCAATGAGGATTAGACAAGCTTGACTACCATGTGTATTCTGTTTTGTAATGTCATGTTTTGTATTGTGTTTTTGTATTGTATTTGGTTTAGCCTATGTATTATGTTTCCTATTGTGTATGACCAATTGACTTGGGAAGAAACATGTCATATTCATTTGTGTCTAAATACATTCGTGTCTAAATGTATTGTGTTGATGTATGCAAATTTTGTCCTAAAATGTCAAGGAGACCCACAAATGTATGCAACTAGTCCTAATATACCAGTACATGTGAAATGAATCACGATTAGGTATTTAAAGAAGCCCAATAACATTTTAATATGTCAAAATCAACTTTAAACTCACCTTTAGTACATTTGGATAATTGGAAAATGCACGCTGGCATTGAGAAACCACAAAGCCCTTCCCCAAGTCACATTTACTAAGCCCATGAGTGTAGAAACAATAATATCCCTAATCCGTTTAATTAAAAAAAGGGCATATGATTAAATATTTGATCATGCATAAATGGGTTAAATTAAGTAAAAGACCTAATCAAATATATTAGGGGTTACTTTTGAGGTAAAAAGTACAGTCAGTGAGATTTTAGAGATAAAAATATGTGTAGGAAAAATTACCCAGATTGCAAAAGTAAAGTTAGAAATATGACTAGAAAAATATTCTAGTTCATTGGGTAAAGTTTGGTATTGAACGTAGGTGCGTAGATAGATAAGCTGTCACCTAGTTAAAGTAACTTAACATATTTAAGTTTTTTTACAAACCATGAATTCCTTATTCTTCTTCATCCTGCGCCCGTCTCTGCCTTCTTTCTTCCATACAAACCAAGCTTAGGTTTTTCTTTTCTTTTCTTTAATTTCTCATCACACAATCATCCAAATGCAAAAGTCCATTACACGAAATTGATGGTAAATCATCCAAGGAATCCATTCCACCCATTTGTTGGGGCTGAAAATGCTTCTGTGAGGAGCTCTCTTCTCCAAAAAATTTGATCACTATTCATCCTAGTGAGAGAAGTTGATTTTTGAGTGAAACCAAGCTTGAGTTTTGTTCATTGGACCTTGGATAAGTGATTTGAGGTAAGAAATTCTCATTCTAATGGTTTGATTTATATGATTTAAGTTTTGAATATTATGAGCATGTGTTATGGAAGATTTTTGAGTTAGAAATTTGAGATTAATGATGAGTTAGTATGGTTTATGATGTTATAATGTGAAATAAGTATGAATATGTGTTGATAGTTTGAAAAATTCCCTTGCATCTCCTCCCACTAGGTTCAGCCTTGGTGTGAAAAATTAGAGTTTAATGCTCAAAAAATAATTGGACACTTTGTGAAGGTTTATATGTATATGTAAGTTGTGAATTAAGTGGATTAATTGAATGATGCTTAGTGGTGTCTTATGTTTTGAGGCATAAATGGATGAATTAATGTGTAAAATGGGTTTTATTACCTAATGATGATTATGGTTGTATGATAAGCTTGAATTTGATGGACTAAAGCATTGGAATCATGAAATTGACATGATTTCCTTATGTGCCTCTTAGCCATTTACAAAGGAAGTATGTTTTTAGAGTGTTTGTTTGTGCTAATGAGTACTTATACGGCCTAAGGA